TTYCCMWTTTCATTGTCTRCTTACCGAGGTTTTGATATTTTCCTTTTCTTTTAGACCGTCATGTTATGTCAGCTTTGATGGAACAGATTATTATCAACTCARATGAGCAAGATATGGAGGTAATAAACGCTAATAAATCTCAGTACAAATATAGTCGAACCTCCCCTAAGCGGCACCCTTGGAAATCACTACAAGTGTCCGCATCCGCTTACGAGAAAGTTCGCTTAATAGAAAGTATAAAAACAGTGTTTGTATGGAAGGAAAAAACGGGGTTTTGAAAAGCTGTCCGTAAGTAGAACTGTCCGCTTACCGGAGCGTGCGTAAGTAGAGATTCGACTGTACATGTGATTTTTTTAGTTCGTGAACGAACACTGATCACTAGGACAATAGCCGTACAATGACGTGTTTTCGTAGCCCTTGGTCAAACGTCGAACATGATTTTTGCCGTACCAAATTCAAGTTTCTATTGTTTGAGCTCATTTTGAGCGATATTTTTTCTGTTAACTTTTCCTTGCATAAAAATCTGCAAAAAGGCACCAGATAGTCTAGCTATTGTATCTGTGAAGGAATTTCAAAAAAATCGAAGATGACAAATGATTTCGTTAGCTGAGAGGTTAATTCACGGTAATAGTAATTGAGCCCTTTAAGTGTGTGGACAAAGTCTGTTAACTACAGGCAACGCTCACTTTCTTAGTTTTGTGTTCATGATCTTATAGTCGACGTCTCCATTTGTTTATTGGAAATTTATTTTCAGTATCCYTGGATTGTGATTGAAGAACCCAAACCAGGTAGAATAAGACCGCTAAAGAAAGGTGTTAAAGGACCCAGAACAGTATCTACAGCTTATGCACGCAAGACAACAAGGTACCGACTAAGCTTTGTTCTTTATATGAATACTTTCACTWTATCGAGCCARTGGACGCTCYTGTGTGACTTTGTGACTTCTGGACATGTTTTATTAACTAACGGACTCAAAATGATGGTTTTCTCGTGTTGGAAATTTGAATGTAACTACACTTGAGTTCGATTTTGGGTCGCTTCAGTCGCTTCTCAAATTCAAAGTCAATTAATGGAAACTATAGCAAAAGTTGTCTTGATACTATGCAGGTTTTAGACTACAGTTATATATTTTTGTTTTGTTTTGTTTTGTTTATCCTCATCCATTATTCATGTTTTGATATTCCATTTGTTTGCAAGGAATGGYTCTGTGGGAACAAGAAGTAGGAGTGCATCTGTTGGGTCTCCTGTGGTAAGAACAAACAAAAAGCCTGGTACGGGGTTTGTGCCGTGGAGAACTGCAGCAAGAGTTGGCAAAAACAGGTAAATATTTCAACGTATCTACCTCGAACTACTGTCAGAAAAAAGATTTTCCACTGCTAAAAACCAAGGATAACTTTTTTGATCAAGCACCAATAAAGCCACATACTACAAAAAAAAAAAAAAAAAATTAAGAAAGCTTATTTAGAAAGATCACCAGACAGGTACGCCAAAGAACTGCTGTCGTCTTTGAAATAACGAAATCTTAGAACCTAAAACCAAAAGGGAATATTTATTCATTAATATTTTATTTGTTAATTTTTTTGATTATTATATATAGATTTTCATCCAAAATGGCGGTGATGACGTAACGTGCAACCCAAGAATAGACCTTTTATGAAATTCAAAATTAAGTTACACTGTGGTCTAGATTCAGTGCAATACCATATTTGGCAGCATGAGCAAAATATGCTTGTACCGAATCTAGACCACAATGCAATGCGGAAAAGTATTTTAGAAAAGGTCTATGACTAAATCTGTAGAAGTGTGACAACTACTATCTAACTATCTAATCGACGATTCTCTTTTTAACGATTCACATATACAATAGCGTTATGGCATTTGTTTGGAACATTATGTAGCAAGTGATGTAWTTCATTTGTAAAGTAATCCCTAATCGTCACAAGAAGACTTTAAGACATTATTATTTTGTGCGGACGTAAAACACTCCTAAGTATACAAAATACTTAACCGAACGCTTGCCTTCCCATGCTCCACTCGGTCTGATCTTTTTTATAACCAGCAATGATTTTTCATTTCGGTCTATAAAATGTTTGCCGTATTTTGTTTAGGCACAAACTGGACAGACAAACAGACGAACAGCAGACGTACAGAATAAAAACCGTAAGTACTTTATTAGTATTCCATTCTTGCTGGTAAGTCATTAGTTAATCAAATTTATGCGTTAATTTTGTAAAGAAAAAGAAAAGGAAGCAGCAACAGCAAGAGTTTGAACCACCAAAAGCAAACAGTTCACCCGTCGTGAGTGACGATGANTGATATCTTTCACATGTAAATATAACACGTTACCATTAAATAAAGGTATATTTAAACTTTTATATAATAAACAGAATATTAAATGGGCTCTTGGAGATACGAATTTCATCTTCGAGTGTTCGCTTAGCCTGCGTAGCGGCTCTTGGGGGACTGGATCCCTTTTGTCCTCTCCCCAGTCCCCCAAGAGCCGCTACGCAGGCTAGTGTTCGCTACGCTCACTCGTTCGATATCAATTGAACACTCGAAGATAAAATTCGTATCTCCGCGCGCCCATGTAATATCCTCTATGTAATACTTTAATCATAAATAACCATTTTATTCAGTACTATAAATTTATTTTGAATCGGCCATTACCACAGGTATCCCACAAGTTCTAGCCTCCGTTAGGGCCCTTGACGATCTCGTCGACTGCATTCTCTAAAAACATGCTCAGTTGTTCAAAGTGTACCATTTTATTCGCCGTGTGAGTGAAATATGAAAAGCGCCATCGATATACAATAATTTCACGACTTACACACAGGTTTAGCCGATCGCGAACAAAATATAATCAAATCGAGGCGTCAAGGTAGAATGTGCGTAAATCGCGTTTTTCATGCCCAGTGTACCCTCGGTTCAATGCTTTGTGATGGCATTATATAATCGGTCATTTGCATGATAGCGTAACTTTACTACAACTACCAGAGAGCCTTGCGCATTTTCATTATATTTCAGACAAGGTTCCCAGGACCAGGGAAAAGTCAGTGAAATTTGAATTTTTTTCAAGGTCAGGGAATTGTCAGGGAATTTTGATTTTGGTCAGGGAAATATGCAATTTATGAAAAAGTCAGGGAATTTTTGCCGAATTTTTCCTGGTCTTTGCAACAAAAAAAAAGTGATTTCGCTTCTAAATGGTTTGTGCTTCAGCAAGCTATATTTATAGGACTAAAGATAATCTTGTCGCCTGGTCACTGAAAAAGGGTTTTTGGTCGGGGAAAAGTCGGGGAAAAGTCAGGGAATTTTACTTTTAAAGATGAGTGGGAACCCTGTCAGATTTTTAATCCCCTTAGCGATTAGTTAAATCATTGGTACTAATTGCATTACAAAAGAAAGTGGGCAAAGCATTCTGGTAGTTGTAGTAAATGACGCCATAATGAAAATCGCCTATTCTTAAGAATTAAGGAAATTTTGAGAATTATCTGTCAGACACGCTAATGACGTAACTGAATAAATTTCCATAAAGCAGAAATTCAAAATGGTGCTAAATTTGAACACATTTTGGCTGTTTACTCTCAGCCTTTAATAATCAGAAAAAAAAGTACCACTAAAATGTATCTACATGTAAGTACTTTTATTGAGAGGTTTTTCATTCTGATTGCCAATGTCCTTTAAGTTTTTTAATGGATTTGTTTTAATTCAGCTTCAAGTGGAAAACAGACGATTGCAGCAAGAGTTACGATTACGGAAAGTAAAATCTGCTAATAATAAGGTAGACAGAAATCCAGTCTCTTTGGCTGCCTATATTGTTTTTTTCTCCTTTTTTTTGCCTGTTTCATTTATTTGGTTTTACTTTATTTTGTTGTCAATACTCTGTGATATCTAGTTTATTCAGTATAAATATCACCATTATCACAACTCATCACTGAACTGTTTCTTTAGGCACCATTGACAGCTTCACAAGGCTCTGCTGGAAATGTTTCAAAAGGTATTTGTTACACGTATATTCCAGTTTGCCAGATTTTCAAACCCACTCTTTATGTGCGGCTGCATGAGCGATTTTTCTGGCTACACGAGCGACAATGCTGTATCGATAAAATATCCTCACAAATACTTATTTGAATCTCCATAATGAAGTATATGTACAAAAACAGCTCAAATTCGATGTTCAGCTTTCATCGTACCCGCTCGTGTAGCCGCGGCTTTAGCACGGCTTAAGTCGCAACAGAGAACTGCACACCTGGACCATCAGTAGACGCGACCCTTACTTCGTTGCTTTCTTGTTGGACTATGGACTTTTCTTCCATTGTTGCAGAGACTTTTGTATTGAACAGTCAAGTATTTATGCGACTGGCGGCATACAAATCAGTCAGGTTTCGACCATCGCGCGAATCGTTACATTTCTCAATTTCCTACCTTATGCTCGTAAGAATCATAATTTCTGATTATCTGACGAAATGTTGTTTTTTTAAGATCGTAACGGCAAGACCCTTTTAGACGACGATCGTTTCTTGGAGAGTATTGAAGCGTCATTTAAACAGTTTTATCAGTTCCTTGATTTACTGAAAGGCAAAGGGTACGTTCTTTCATTCATTCATCCCTTTATTCTTACT